AAATAGTTACTATCTGGCTCCTTGCAGAAACAATTTGCCAAACCCCATACTTGGGTAACCCAGGGAGGCTCCATGGAGGAGCTGGGTCTTAACTTGAGCCTTGAAGGAAACAGGCAGTGTTATTTCGGTACAAAGGAATGAAGGATTGCAGAAAGCACACTGCAAGAAGAGTACTAAGATTATAACTGATGTTACATCACTGTGTGCAAAAGTCATTACAATAGCTTAATGATAAAACAAACAATAACTAAGTACATATGTGCTACTTAGTACCTATTACTTACTACAGGCTAGGTACTATTCTATATGCTCTGTGCAGAGTAAAAACATTTTATCCTCACATTAATACCATGAGGCAGGTAATATCACCCCCATTTTTTCAGATGAGAAAAGAGAGAGTTCACCAAGCTAGTAAGTAGTCTAGCTAGAATTCAAATCCCAGCATTCTTACTCTAGACTTTACCTTCTTTAAAAGCTATAAAAATGGAAATGTAAAATATTATTAAGGCCAAAATTTTTGCATTCAATTTTAGTTAGGAACAATAAGACTGCTTTCTAAAGACATTATTTTATTTTATTTTGCCCTATTACTTTCTTTTTAATACTGCATTATGATTTTATACTGTGAAACCTTCTTGGCTAACCACACTGCACATTCACTTTGTGTACTCTTTGTCCCCTACAAAATAACTGCCAGTGCTCAGCTGGAAACCCCCTAAACGGGGCATCCCTGTGGTGTGTGTGGTGATTATGTTGCCATGGTAATGCTGTGTCAATACAACAGCCACTGACCAACCATTCCCAGAGATGGACCACAACCCATTTGTTAAATTCTGATCACCATCATATGGCTGCAGCAGAGGCTGAGGCTGCACCCAGTCCCTCAGAAGACGGAAAGTTCTCTTCCCCAAATAACAGTCAATTAGGCCATCCTGTTTATGACAGACAGAGTCGCTGTGGGCATTACTTCTTGAAGACATACCAGGCTCTGTTTGGGAATCCTACTTTAGAGCAGAGGTTCTCAGTTCATAGCAGTAAATTCTGATTTCCTGGTCTATCCTGAAGGTATACCAGGCTCTGTTTGGGGGTCGTACTTTAGAGCAGAGGTCCTCAGCTCACAGTAATAAACTCCAATTTCCACAAAAAGCTTGGGTCAGTTTCTACAGGTCAACCAGGGGCCTATGGAGCATCTGCTGGTATCCTAACATGACATCACACACAGGGCCCATGGTAAATATCAAATTAAATACAGGAAGAATTCAAGAAGAAAAGTTGCTTCTGGATTATTATGTTATTATAACACAAGGGAGAGATTCCTAATAGATACTTTCGAAAAGTATTAACTTTCTACGGGCTACTACATAATTCAGACACCTTTTCTAGGGGGCATTTCGGCCATCTGATTCAAAAGCCTTACAAATACACAAAGCCACTGATCAAGAAATTCCACTTATACTAATTTATTCTAAGGAAATTTTCAGATACATACCTAAAGGTTATACGTTAAAGTGTTGTTTATAATTGAAAAAACTGTAAGCACCTTAATTGTATAACAGGGGATTAGTTAAATAAATTATGACATAACCATAAACTACAATATTAATTGCATAACCATAAAAGCTATGCAGTTGCTTAAATTTGGGTCATAAAAGATGATTAAATTTAAAGATTAACTGAAAACCAGTGTACAACACACAATTCCATTTTTGTGAAATGACAACATGCATATACTTATAAAAAAGCTGAGATTCACAGGGGTTTTCTCCCAGTAGAATCATGGTTTTCATTTTCTATTTTTTATGCAATACATCTGCAAGCCTAAATATAGACCAACTCTTTCTCAATGACCAGGGAGAAAAGCAGTCCATCCACAACACAAAAATTATCAAATTCAGGGCCAGGAACAGTGGCTCAAGCCTGTAATCCCAGCACTTTGGGAGGCCAAGGCGAGTGGATCATGAGGTCAAGAGATCGAGACCATTCTGGTCAACATAGTGAAACCCCGTCTCTACTAAAAATACAAAAAAATTAGCTGGGCATGGTTGCACGTGCCTGTAATCCCAGCTACTCAGGAGGCTGAGGCAGGAGAATTGTCTGAACCCAGGAGGCGGAGGTTGCGGTGAGCTGAGATGGCGCCATTGCACTCCAGCCTGGGTAACAAGAGCGAAACTCAGTCTCAAAAAAAAAAAAAAAAAAAGAAAAAATTATCAAATTCAACTGGCGGCCAAACTCATCTGACTGTATTGGGTTTATAACTCTGTTAAGAAGATACACAATGACTGGACCATTTCACTAAGTTTATCAAAGATGTTCGTGCTGGTGTGGGTTTTGTTTTTGTTGGGGTGTTTCCTAAAAAGAGTCAGAATACCAAACGAAGGTCAGAGAACTCACTGCCTATGAGCTGCTTAAAACCGTTTGTTCTGTACGGATCGTGAAACAGCTTCATATGCAGCTCAGGGTATGTGCCACAGAGACACGCTGGATAATGATGAGAGCAGGTAAGCCGAGCTACAGCGTATCTCCTTCAGATTTCTGGATGTGAAATTACTTAATATTTTTCAGAAATAAAATATCTTTTCATTTACTTTTCAAATAAACATTAGGAATGATTTATTTATATATTGCGCAACAAGTGGACAAAATGAGCTAGCTATTCCAATGAAAACTTTCCAAATTTCAGGGCAAATTTAAGTAGGTTCAGCTAGGGGTTACCAATAATAAAGCAATAATTGAATGAACAAATGTCTCGCTTTTTAGCCAGCTGCCAACTGGTTGCCCATATACCTTTCCCGACTACCATGTCAGAATCTACCGGAGAAAAGAGAAATGCCATAAAATAGCACAATCCCTGAGGCAGAGAGATGTTCCAAAGCCTTCAGTGAATTTCTCTAGACTGGCCTTACCTTATTTATGATATTAACAAACCATAATGTTTATTTAAATGATTTGAAAAGAAGGGAAAATTCACAAAATGACTTTGAGGGGCTGAGTCACCTTTATTCATCTGTTCAATCTCTTAAGCACCCACTATATCCAGACTGTGTATGACATGCTTCCTTGGGTCCCCGTCTACCTTGTGTTCACAGGCAATCAGACATGCAGTACAGTAATCTGATTACAAAAGTGACACCCATTCCCCCGGCCCCTCCATATCTATATCCCTTATGACTTTGAAGTTCCAGCCATTAAGAAGTTGAGTCGGGCTGGGTGAGGTGGCTCACACCTGTAATCCCAGCACTTTGGGAAGCAAGGTGGGAGGGTCACTTGAGCCTAGGAATTCAAGAGCAGCCTGGGCAACACAGTGAGATTGTTGCCCCAACTCTATAAAAAAAGATTTTGAAGTTGACAGATGAGTTTTATTTTATTTAAAAGAAAAAAAAAAGTTGAGTTTAGGTTCCTGCCTACTGAGTCTAGGCTGACCTTACGACTTGCTTTGGCTAACAGTGTGGCAGAAGTCGTAATGAGATGCTTCTTAGCCTAAGCCTCTGGAGACCTTATGTGCTTTTGTTCTCTCTTCTGGAACCCTGCCTCTGAGAACAAGCCAGGGCCAGCCTGATGGGAATGAGGGATCACACGGAAGAGAGCTGAGTCTCCCCAGCCCACAGTCAGCACCCCTAGAAGCAGAGCCAACTAGCTACCCTGCAGCTGCCCAGAGATACATGGTGGAGCCTCGCCAAGTCCAGATAAACCATGCAGATGAGTCTGGCTGAAACTGCTGACCCACAGAATTGCAGGCTAAATAAAGAATAGTTGTCTTAAGCCATTAAGTTTTAGAACGGTTTGTTATCCAACGGTGGCTAACCAATATATACGGTGAAGTGCTAACTCTGATAAGCCAAACATAAAATGCCATGGAGTACCCGTAACATTATTCCAACATGTTAACAATTACAAATGAATCATGCAATTTAGATGTATAAACAACAGATCTAAACAACCATCCAGAGAGGACTTAAAGAAGTTATATATCTAGGGAAGGCCTAGCTCAAGACAGCCATAGTTCCTTTGAGAAATTTTTTATGGATGAGTTAGTTGTATTTGCCTATGAAGTCATTGCTTCTTTTCTCTCTTGAAAAAAAAAAAGAAGCTCTTTCACTCAATTAAGACTGTTGGACTTGATAACAATTGTCTTGCTTGATTCAAAGCAGTCATATACTACTCTCTGACACATGTTCAGCCTCCAGTATTCTGTAGGCAGGAATTTGAAATCCAGCTCCCCTGAATTTATGACATACATACAGTAGCAAGTCCCTACAGGCTGGAAATCAAGCTGTAATTCAAAGGCCACAGGGCTGAGGAAATAGCTTGGAGATAAATCCCAATTTCAACCTTGGATTCCCTGCAAGTTGATTCAGTGGACTGTCAGTCATATTAAAAATAAAATCAAACTACAGACACCAGACGGCATGTTCTAAAGAGAAACCGGATGATGCTTTTCAAGATTCTTCCAACCCTGGTTTTTTCCTGAGACAAAGTCTCGCTCTGTTGCCCAGGCTGGAGTGCAGCGGTGTGATCTCAGCTCACTGCAACCTCTGTCTCACGGGTTCAAGAGATTCTCATGGCTCAGCCTCCTGAGTAGCTGGGACTAGAGGCACCTGACACCACGCCTGGCTAATTTTTGTATTTTTAGTAGAGATGAGGTTTTGCCATGTTGGCCAGGCTGGCCTCAAAGTCCTAACCTTAAGTGATCCACCCGCCTTGGCCTCCCAAAGTGCTGGGATTATAGGCGTGAGCCATTAGGCCTAGCCTAACTGGTTCTTATGATCTAAAAATAATTGTTATGCAGGGGTATTTTAAGGGCCTTAGAACCTTTAGCCCTAATCAGTCATTTGCAGAAGTTTCTGAATTTTAAACTAAAGATATATAAGGCAGTCATAAAACCCATCAAATAGAATTCACCACACTGATTGGAAGTGGTGCTACACATCCAGTCCATTTTTGGAGCTGGGTAGGCACATGGAGAACGAGACTTCAGCAGGCACAGAGGTGTGAGTACTCACCTTACATCCCTCACAGGCGCTGACCCCATAGTGGTACCCTGATGATTTGTCCTGGCAGACGAAGCAGGGTTTGTACACTCGAGGGGGAGGAAGTGGAGATGGAGGGCTTGGGACGAGTTCCTCAGAGCTGGTGCTCTGTGTTTCAATCGCTACAATGGAGACGAGACAGAGGTGAAAAGAAGAGAAATTGCATTTTAGTTCATTACTTTTTTCAACAGTGAATTCATATTCTTCTGCCCCAAATTCAGCAATAACACTAGCAAGGATGAGCCAATAAGAACAGCTACCATTGCAGGCCCAGCGGTGGTGATACTGACATCGACGTGGTGCTCTACAGTTTACAAAGCCATCTCCTACAACTCTTGCTCATAGTTCACGCTTCACACAGCACCATAAGGGCCGTGGTTTTTATCAATTTTACCCCCAACAGAAACAGAAACTCAGAGGAAGGGACTTGTCTAAGACCAACAGGGCAGTGGTAGAGCCAAGACACAAAGTCAGATATTCACACTACAAACCCCAGTAGCTTCTGATTCATGTGGAGTCTCAAATGACTTGACCCTGTCACTCACTTAACCAAAAGTACATTTCCTTTGGGCCGGGCGCAGTGGCTCACGCCTGTAATCCTGACACTTTGGGAGGCTGAGGAAGGCGGATTACCTGAGGTCAGGAGTTTGAGACCAGCCTGGCCAACATGACGAAACCTTGTCTCTATTAAAAATACAAAAATCAGCTTGGTGTAGCGGTGGGTGCCTGCAATCCCAGCTACTCAGCAGGCTGAGGCAGGAGAACTGCTTGAACCCAGGAGGCGGAGGTTGCTGTGAGCCGAAGTCCTGCCACTGAACGCCAGCCTGGGCAGCAGAGTAAGACTCTGTCTCAAAAATAAATAAATAAAAATATAAAAAGCTTCCTTTGGACAAAGGAAGAAAATGCCCAAATCAGTCATTCAACCAAGTATATGGGGAGAGTCTTTAGCATGATGCAGGCATAACTGATCTGCACTGATATCAATATGGGTGGCCAGGCGAGGTGGCTCACACCTGTCATCCCAGCACTTTGGGAGGCCGAGGTGGGCAGATCACCTGAGGTCGGGAGTTCCAGACCCGCCTGACCAAAATGGAAACATCCCATCTCTACTGAAAATACAAAATTAGCCGGGTGTGGTGGCGCATGCCTGTAATCTCAGCTACTCAGGAGGCTGAGGCAGGAGAATCTCTTGAACCTGGGAGGCGGAGGTTGTGGTGAGCTGAGATTGTGCCATTGCAACCCAGCCTGGGCAACAACAGTGAAATTCCATCTCAAAAAAAAAAAAAATTTGACAGTATGAGTAGGACCCTTGCTACTCAAAGAAGGCTTCTTGGACCAACATGCATCAGCATCATTTAACATCTTATTAGAAAACATAGTGTAAGGCCCCAGCTCAAGCCTGTGGAATCTTTTTTTTTTTTTTTTTTTTGAGGCGGAGTTTCGCTCTTATTACCCAGGCTGGAGTGCAATGGCGCGATCTCGGCTCACGGCAACCTCCGCCTCCTGGGTTCAAGCAATTCTCCTGCCTCAGCCTCCCGAGTAGCTGGGACTACAGGCACGCACCACTATGCCCAGCTAATTTTTTGTATTTTTAGTAGAGATGGGGTTTCACCTTATTGACCAGGATGGTCTCGATCTGTTGACCTTGTGATCCACCAGCCTCGGCCTCCCAAAGTGCTGGGATTACAGGCTTAAGCCACCGCACCCAGCCCAAATTGCTTTTTAAATATACAGTATTTTTCCCAGAATATAAAGTTTCCAGTTGACCTACTGCTTGTAATCTCTCAGAGTAGATATTCTACTGACTGGGTTATCCTGCAGCAAGCATTCAGTAAGTCAGGTTGACTCTACCACTAAACTTATTGTTAATCCGTCCCCATATCGCTATCCTGCCACCACACCATGCTAGTAATCCACCGTCACCTCTCACAACTGCTGCAATAGCCTCTTCATGGGTCTCTTTATGCCCCTTCTTCCTACCTAGGGTCTCTTCTTCAAACAAGTAGTCAAGACAGTTTTTCAAATGTTAAAAGCTGTCTCTTTCACTGACTGACCTAAAGCCCTCCAACAGTCATTAGACCAAAGTCAAGCTCCCTCGTATGTTCCACAAGGCTTCTTCTCATCACATGGCCTTTTAGCAGCATCACTGCCTTCAGTGAGCCCCTAATTGATTGAGTTTCTACGTAATTGGCATCTACTCTGTCTTTTGAATAGGCCAAGCTCTCATACCAACTGATAACTGCTGCAATAACCATCTGTCCTTTCTGGAAATTCTTACACCTTCAAATATCGGGTTGTTTTTCACTTCCTAGATCCCAAAGCAAATGTTACATTCTCAGAGGTGAATTCCCTCATTAAAATGCCCCTCCCCACTCCTGGTCACTCTGTCTCACTATTTAATTTCTATAAAAGCCTGCATTCAAATTTTAGATGTTTGTGCACAATTTTACACTCTATATCTGCCCCCCACCCCATACTCTGAATACTGAGTTTCCTAAGGCAAGAAACTCAACCTGCATTGCATGCACCTGTGTTCCAGAACTAGCAGGGGTCCTGGCACGTAGCAGATTATCAATAAGTATTTGCTGAATCAGTGCATGAACCTTTTCTTTTTCCTTTTTCTTCCCCATTCTGAGCACTAAGTGCCCCTCCAAGTTGTTAAATGATAAAATTAGAAATCAAATAGCTCTCTTATACTCATTTGCTTCCTTAAAAAAGTAATTCATTAGCCCTTTGGAACAGAATCAGCTGTAATTATAGTATTTTCATAATTCAGAAGAATCTTGGAATGAATTCATTACAGTAGTGCAGGTCCTAGTAGATAAATCTATTAAAGCCTTTACTGGTTAGAACAGAGGTATCTGGGATGAAGATATCAATCTTGAGTACATTCTTCCTGGCACACAGGAAGCCCTTACTTTGGCCAAGTTGGCACAGTGGTAGCAACTGTTTCATAGAAGGGTTGGCATCTGAGATGTCACTAAAGCTTATCAACTGTAAATGCAAAAACATTTCTCACACTGAGCTAATCAGCTTCACTGAAAGCAAATTAACAAGAAAACACTACTTGTTAAAATTACAAAACAACTAGCACTCTTTGTTTAAAATCTAAGAAAAAATATACACAGAATCACCCACAATCTTTTCCCTCAGAAAAACTGTCTGTGTACAACCCTCCAGAATTTTTTCGATACACCTAAATGCTTCGGGTTTGTCTACTAACATGGAATTATACTGAGACTGTTTGGGACTTTGTTTATCCCATGATGTCATCAATTTATTTCCTTGTCACTAAAATATTTTCCACAGAAAACATGCCATTGTGATGAACATCTTTGTAGCTAATCTCAGCGCATCTTTATTTCCTTCGAATAAATTACTGAAGTGTATCAGTTCAAAAGTCATTATTTAAAAAATACATATTTTTTTATTTTTTACACATTAAGATTCTGAAAAAATATTAGGTTTTTAATGCATGTTGATAGACCGACTTCTAGAAAGGCTGTGTGGATTTACACTACTGATATCAACATATGTGAGCTCTTCCCCAGATGCCTCTCAAACCTTTTGGAGTGATTTGCATGCTTCTACTTCCAACCATGTGCTTCAACAACTGACAGACCCATGTCGTCACCACGCTGATCAATCTCACATTGAGTTCTTCACAGAAGGGTGTGTATGGCGGGGGTGGGTGTTTTAAGGTCTTACTCGCTCACGTAGAACAGCTAATCTGGCTTGTCTAGGAAAGTTGTAAATAGAATTCTGGTAGGGCTGAAATCAGCTGTCAGAGCTATGCCCTGAATTTCAAAAGTGGGTAGTAATTTCCATAAATATGCCACTTCAAACACATGCAGTGACGGGAGTCCAGCATTTTATCTTCCCAAAGAAAGGAAACAAAATTGTGCATAATTTGACACCCAAGAAACTTGGGGCAAAGCACACAAGAAACGGGAAGTCTACTGGACATTAAAGATCCCAAAACATTTTACAAAGATTGGATCTTTTCCTAAGGGTAAGAGTCATTTAGAACGAATGAATGAATCCAGAAGTCTTTTCCTGAACGGTTGCCATGAATGAAAATGTTCTATTGTAAGTAATCAATAGTGAGACCCGCGGACTTGTATTAAGGCTGTGGTGATTTCTCCAGCAATTCAAAGAACTTTCTCATAGGAGTACAACAGATTCTCAGACTGTTCATGTGTTCAATCATTTGCTTGGCTGAGTGACGTAACATACCAGGCGGTGTGTTACACGCTATGAATGGACACTGATAGTATATAATTCCTTATCCTTGACAAATATGGCCTAGTAGAGAATAAACCAACAATGATAATACAGTGGGTTCCAAACTTGGCTGCACATTAGAACCAGCTGGAGAGCTTTTAAACATTCTAATGACCAAGTTGTATCCCAGATCTATTATGCCAGAACGTCTGGGAATGAAGCTAGGAATTGCCATTTTTTTAAAAAAAAATCCCTTTTAGCGGACTGTAAGATTTCAAAACAGCAAAAACAAATAAAAATAAAAGGTATTCCCAGGCGAATCCAAATGGAAGTAGCTTGAGAACTACTGTTATAATGACAGAGAGAACTGAAGGCCTTATTTATCCAGGAGAAATCAAGGGTGGCTTCCAAGAGGAAGTGATCGGGCTATGTTTTTGAAGGATAAATTGGTTCTCTCTACTGTTTTTATAAATTTGAATCCTACGAATGCCATAAAGAAACATAATTTGAAAACTACAAATGCCACAAAAACAGAGAGGGAAAAGTGTTATGTGTGATCAAAAAAAAACATCTTTAGAAAAATTTTCCCACTGGCAATAAAAAAATTAAATATTTGGGCCTGGCGCGGTGGCTCAAGCCTATAATCCCAGCACTTTGGGAGGCCGAGGCAGGTGGATCACAAGGTCAAGAGATCGAGACCATCCTGGTCAACATGGTGAAACCCCATCTCTACTAAAAATACAAAAATTAGCTGGGCGTGGTGGCGCGTGCCTGTAATCCCAGCTACTCAGGAGGCTGAGGCGGGAGAATTGCCTGAACCCAGGGGGCGGAGGTTGCGGTGAGCCAAGATTGCACCATTGCACTCCAGCCTGGGTAACAAGAGCGAAACTCCGTCTCA